CCCCCAAAACCCCAAAACCCCAAAACCCCAAAACCCCAAAAGATTATAAAAATATTGAAAATAAAATGCAGACCTGGAAGTAACCCCATCTAATTCTGTAGAGATAGTGCTGCTCATCAGTCTAGCCATGGATTCGAGCTCCCTGATATCTCAAGGTCAAATATGCAGAAGTACATGGGACTTTCCAGGAACTCCTCTGCTAGGAATATGGGTAAGCTTTCATTGTCTTTTCATAAAAATTTAAACCTTACTATGAATAGACACTTTTAAAACGATTGGGTACCCAAGTGAAGCAAATAAGTCGTCTAAAGCTGGGATTTTAAATTCAAAGACAGTAAGGCCTTTTAATAACTCTAGACTCTTGCTGAAGAGAATTTAAGAGATTTCCAGCTTAATCAGGTAAAGAAAGAATCAGGAGCGCATAAGAAAATCTTCTCACCACAGAGAATCCAGCTTCCTGCATATTTCAATACTCCAAGAAGGGTTGAAGATGGATTAGTGAGGAACAAGATTTCTTCTCACAAGACTATCATTCAGAGCTTACTCAAGAATAATTCTGGACTCTCAATGAGCTACAAGGACTCGTACAACAGAATAATGGCTAATAAGAGACTCAAGGATTACCACATGCTTGCATTTGCATGCAAGAGAGCAGGTAAGCATAGAGATGAAGGCAGAGCTTACTACAGTGAAGGAGTTCTCTGCGATAACCTTTCTAAATACAAACAAGCTATTGGGTATTACAAGAAATTCCTTGAAGTCTGCAAGGCTATTGGGGATAATCACGGAGAAGCCCTCGCTTACAACTGTATTGGAGTTGATTATCAGAAAATGGCAGAGGAAGATCCCTCACTGTATAAGAAAGCTATTGATATGCATCTCAAGCATAAGGAGATTGCTGATACTTCAGGGAAATTCATCTCTCATGTGAACCTTGGAATAATTTACAACCAACTTGGTGACCAGGAAAAGTCGAATATCAACCACCATTTTGCATTAAGATACGCAGTCCAGATGTCTAGTATCCCAGGCCAGAAGGTGGCTCTTGGAAATCTTGGAAAGATTGGAACTTACAGCTTCTCTTCAAATCCTGAGAAACTGCTTAAATTTGTTGAAAATTACATTGAACTTAGTGAGAAGGATCAAGAGAAGGACCCAAATGCTTATCTCAGATTAGGGCAATTACTAAGCACAAAGGGCAAATATGACGAGTCTTCAAAACAATTCTTCAAAGCTATCTCGGCAGCTGAGAAAGAAGGAGAGAAAACTATCAAAAACGAGGCTGTCATCAACTTTGGTATGGCTACGGCTAATGCTACCTGGAAGGACAAATGCAAACAAATCACTGAGCAGTATAAGACTCATGCTTATAATGAAGACCAAGGGGAGGACGAGGAAGAATATATAGACGTCAAGAACAAACTTGAAGTAGAATTACAAAAGCTCAATGCTGATAATGCATTGGAAGGGCATGACAACAGCGTATCTATCATTCAAAAATAGTTAATTCATTCCTAATTCAACTCTTTATGGTCTCTAGGGGTTTTGGGGTTTTGGGGTTTTGGGGTTTTGGGGTTTTGGGG